CCCGAGTGATCACCCCGAGTGGGAGCAGGAAGATACAAAGGGACTTAGATAAAATAAGTGAGTGGGCCAAATTGCAATAGATGATATTCAATGTGGGGAAATGTAAAGTTATCCACTATGGAACCAAAAATAGCAAAACTGAATATTTTCTAAATGGTGAGAAATTAAGAACTGTGGAAGAGCAAAGGGATTTGGATGCCCACGTAAAACCAAAAACAAACTCACAGGTACAAAAAGTTATCAAAAAAACTCATGGGATGTTGGCCTTTATCTCAAGGGTGCTGGAATATAAAGGCGAGGAAATGATGCTTTAACTATATATAGCCTTGGTCAGACCCCATCTGGAGTACTGCGTTCAGTTTTGGGCACTGCATCTCGGGAAGGATATATTGACTCTGGTGGGGGTGCAGCACACATTCACCAGAATGATACCAGGGCTAAAAGGGTTAAATTATGAGGGCAGATTGCATAAATTTGGTCTCTGTTCTCTTTAGTTTAGAAGGTTGAGGGGTGATCTGATTGAGGTTTTTAAAAAAATAAAGGGATTCGATAGGGTAGATACAGAGAAACTATTTCCTCTGGTGGGGGAATCCAGAACAACTCTAATCTTAAAATTAGAACTAGGTCATTTAGGAGTGAAATTAGGAGGCAGTTTTTCACCTAAAGTATAGTGGAAATCTGGAACTTTCTCCCCCAAAAGTCTGTGGATGCTGGATCCATTCACATCTTCAAGCCTGAGGTAGATAGATATTTGTTAGGTCAGGGAATTAAGGGGTGGGGGGCAACGGAAAGTAATTGAATTTGAGGTCCAGATCAGCCAATGATCTTATAGAATGACGGAATAGACTCATGGGGCTGAATGGCCTATTCCTGTTTTTAATGCAAGGATTATTATTATAATAAAAGTGCAGCGAAGCTGAGAGGGAAGAATGGAGATCAGGAGAACAAGGTGAAATTAGATGTGAAGAGAGGCTGAAGAAAGCTGGCTCCGAGAGAAAGGTCCAGCTGTCAGAGTGTGGAGGAGCCAGATCTGAGGTTGGGGGTGGGTGGGGCTGAAGCACAGAAACAGATCAGTGCTGCAGTTGATGCACTGGTACGGACCAAAAGCCGAGGATAATAATAGTAAAAAAAGATCAGAGTAGGGAAGCTGGTTATAACTCAAGCCAAATAACCGCGGGAGCAGTACAGAAGCGAAACCCCCCCCAAGGGAACCACGGGGAAGGGATCACTGTTTAAGCAAAATATTTCTCGGTTAGACATAATAGCAACTGAATACAAGCATCTGAGTCCACACGCAGTTACTAAAGCTGTGCTTCCTGCTGCCGTGCTGCGGGTAGATCTGGGGAACAGCTGAGGGCAACAATGACCACAGAACAACAACCAGCAAAAGCTGATCTGCTGAGCTGAGCACGAGCTGGAGATCTGCAGCGGGAAATTTAAATTTCAGCCTGTCAATCGTATTGCACGTTTCCCCCCCGTTCAGGAAGAACCAAAGTACAGCGGAAAATAGAGTGAAATACACAGTGGAAATATTTAAAAACTATTGATCTGTACAGGCCTACAGCTTACACAGTGTTTAGTATACAGCAAGCCTCTCATGAGTTGTGCTGAAAGCATGGCCAAGGGGATTTTTGTTCTTGTAGCATTATAAATGAGTTAAATGTTTTGTATAATCTTGGAACAAAATTAGATCAATTTAAATCACCCATTAAACGTCGAAGGTCCATAATTACCATAATTTCACCATATGTTGTGAGGAGTTGAAGAAATGTATTGAAATATTGGTGAACTTGTTTACTTTAAATGTCAAATATCTTCATAGTTGAAGAACATAAGAACATAAGAATTAGGAGCAGGAGTAGGCCATTCGGCCCCTCTAGTCTGCCCCGCCATTCAATAAGATCATGGCTGATCTATTCTAACTCCACCTACCCGCATTATCCCCATATCCCTTAATCCCTTTATCCACAAGAAATCTATCAATCTCAGTGTTGAATATGTTCAAGGAGTGAGCAGCTACAGCCCCTTAGAGAATTCCATAAATTCATTACCCTCTGAGTGAAGAAGTGTTTCCTCAACTCAGTGCGAAAGGGATTACCCCTAATTTTAAGACTGTGACCCCTGGTTATAGTTTCTCCAACCAGGTGAAAAAGTCTCCCACTATCTATTCTGTCGTGCCCCTTAATAGTCTTATAGGTTTCTATAAGATCACCTCTCATTCTTCTATATTCTAGAGAATATAGGCCTAAATTGCTCAACCTATCCTCATAACTCATCCCCCTCATCCCTGATACCAACCTAGTGCAGAAACATCATAGTTTATACCCGCATAGAATCATAGAATTATACAGCCAGAAGGAGGCCGTTCAGCCCATCGTATCTGTGTTGGCTCTTTGAAAAGAGCTATCCAAATCACTCCCCCGATCTCTCCCTATAGCCCTGCAAACTTGTCCTCCCCAAATAATTATCTACTTTCTCTCTTAAAAGTTGTTATCGAATTGACTTTCACCACCCTTTTAGACAATGCATTCCAGATCCGAACAACTCGCTGTGTAAAAAAGTTTCTCCTCACCTCCCCTCTTTTTCTTTTAACAACTATTTTAAATTGATGTCCTCGGGTTACCGACCCACCCGCCAGTGGAAATAGTTTCTCCATGAACACTGACCTGCTCCCTGGAATTATTGCAATTGACAGTGACAGATTGCATCCATACAATTGCACCCATAACCCTAAGGTTAAAACACAGAGAACAATTGTATGGGTGCATTTTCTGACATGACTAATACTATACATGTACACAGTATCAACCCAAGCAGCAAACAGTTCAGGATCTTCACAATAGATGGCGCAAGGAACAAACACTTTTTAACTGGTTTCTGAAGCTCCATTTACACATGGTAAAATACAAAGAACTAGTTTTAAGAGTAATCTATATGCCAGGTTAAAAATATATGTGTCATCCCTCCTGGAATCTGACTATGATGATCTGAAGGAGTCACTCTGATTCTCTTCTTATTGAGTAAAGACATTGACTAATACCAGTGCTTCCATTGTTATTAAGTTGTGTGCCTGAGTGGCCTTTCTTTATCTATGAGCCTAAGGAATAACTAATGTCATTACTGTTCAACTCAGGGCAACTCGATCATGTTTCTCATCTGATATCCACAAAACATTTACAGCAAGCAGTTAAAAATGAGAAATACTATTCCTATTCATCATTGAGTCGGTTACAGGAAGTCATAAATTGTGGATTATCATTAGAAGGGAAAAAGAGATAAGATGTTTTTTTTAATAGTTTTTTTAAACAATATGAAATGTCTTACCATTAATGGTTGTTGTAGTCCAGTCCAGGAGCATTTAAAAGTGAATTTGATAAAATAATTAAGAAAAAATAATATTAAAGAGTATGGGAAAGAACAGAAGAACATGATTGGAGTAGTTAGCTGTAGTGGGAGAGCTAGGACCTGCACAAACTGAACCCTTATATTGGTAGAAAAGATCTCAGTGTGGTAAATGTGAGGTGAGTTTTTAATACATAAAATATCCTGCTAAAATAGAGGAAGGAGGTGGAAGCAGGGGACGAATAATACAATAGTATAATAATGACAACAACAATAATAATAATAATAATAATAATGCAGTATGTGGGAAATTCGAGACATGTCAAGTGTAGTATGCTAGGAAGAATTAGGCAACTTTGGTTCTAAGGTTCCCAAAGCTTGCCATCGTGATGGTGAACTAATCCATACAGCACTAATTGCTATCAATATCTCCATTGTTGTAGCACGCCAAGATGGTAGAAGGGAGACTAGATGGACTTTGGTCTTTTTTTCGTCCAGCAATTCCTATGCTCATAAGTTCCCAGTTAATTTGGATTGGATAATGACTTTAGTCTTATAATAATACAAATTATCCAACAAGTGTTACTACGTTTGAGCAAGTATATTGAGCCTCCTCATGGGGATCTGGCAATTACATTTTCACAGTTGACCTCTTCTAAAGCTGGAGCTGACCTTTCATTAATTAAAGGTGAAATATCTTCCTTCCAATGATGAAAGATTGCTGCTTAGGTTAATTCTAAATGCTAACATAAAACCTATGCTTTGATTTGTGAAGTGGGGGGGAAATGTGTGTGGGTTAGCCAGCTTTAACATGGAGCTCGGCAAAACAGATGTTCCTATTATTTCTAAGGCAAAATTTCAATACCTTTAATATTTGGTTCAATGTCTGAGAAGATCTGTTTCCATCAATGCAAGATTTGGAAGGAAGAGATATAAGGTAGGAGTCCTGTAGCTCAGTGGTTAGAGCGCTCGCCTTGCAAGCGAGAGATCTGGGTTCAATTCCCGGCAGGGCGAAACCTTGGGCAGGTTTCCTTACTACACATGCCTGATAATAATCCCTCAAGAAAAAAAATAATTAAAAAATTGGTCACTTCAATCCAGGACTGTGTGTAGAACACTGCTGTGTGCAATTGACTGCTGCGTTTCACCCACAAAATATACAGTCAATTCACTTTTTACAGTATATTCTGTGAAGTGCTTTGAGACGCCTCGAAGATGTGAAAAATATCAAATGCAAAGATTATTATTATTATTAATTATTATGTATTTACACGTAGCACTCCCAGAAAGAACACATTTTTCGATTTTGCAATGATCGCGTTAAATATATAATAATGACACTTTTACAGCAGTTGTATATTGCAACTATTATACATTGAACAGATGTATCCTAACGCACCTGTATCAAATCTATTTGCTTAATCCGATATATTTATATGTCTCAGGTTGTGTGAACTTCCTTATGCGGGATTGAAAGCAGCCTTTTTGGAAAATTGCCAAGCTATTCACCAGGATTGTAAAAAAACAAGTGGAGATCTGGTGGATTTAAATCACTTTTGAAATCAACCAAAGGAACAATCGAAAGGCTGTGGCGAACACACTCAACTTTGGACTCAATATAAACCCACGCACACTAACTCTCCACTAACTCTTGTGGGAGTTCCTGGAAAAAGATAGGGAAACTGCACAGCTCCATCCCTCCTGCTGGTTGAGAGCCCAGCAGGTATCCCAGTCTGACAGCATGAAATTACACGGATGGTATTCCATGTGTCTTCCCATTTCCTTGACAATAATGTGCCTGGCGAGCAGTCCATCACAATCCGCTCTCGGGACGGGAGGGAGAGAAGGGGAACACATTCGAATCAAAGCGATCAAGAAGGCAGTCATGGAGCAACTGCGGATGAGGAGGCAGCCCGAGCCAGCAATAAAGGAGGAGAAAATGTACCAACTTTACCTGCAACGTGTGAGGAGCTCAGACCTGACCAACAGGGAACCTCGCCTGAGGATGGACACTGTCAGCATGTTTGTGCACAAGGGTAAGAGCTTTGTGGTGGTGTTTATTATTTGTGTTTATTATAATTATAAGAGCGATTATTTTAGATGCTCATCGCACTTGCAAGCTTAGCTTTACCGTGATCAAACTCCACAGAGTAGTATTGCCTCCTAATAGATAAAGATTGTTTAAAGGGTGTCCAGGCTGTCGATTAATTGACCACTAAATCATTATGACATTTTAAACCGATTGTAAAAATTCACCACCTTACACAAATGTGTTTTTGTTAGGAATATCTACTTTTTTTTGGGGGGTGGGGTGGGGAGAAATCCTCTGAAGTAAACTTCGGGAGAGGTTTGGATTTTTTTTAAAAAAAGGAATCAAAGTACATTTGATATGGGAAAGATTTAAGCTATGTATTTAAATCCAAGGTGATGCACACACACACACCATCTACTCTTAATTAGCTATTGACTCATGGTCTTCCATCAAAGATACTTTAATACAATATAATTTACATTTATACAACGTCTTTCACATCGGGAGCACAGCCTCAGGTGCCCATCCAGTACATTCACAGTCCTAAATATAGCTCATTCTTTGATTTTTTAAAAAAAACTAAATCAGATTCCCTCCTCTTTCTCATTTTCTTTTCATTATACACAAAGATTATCACCATTTCTTTGATGGCTTCAGTCTTAATCTTTCTTTATCTATAAACATTCTTGGCCTCACTAGAACAGCAATAAACGACTCTTATACAAATGATTCTTGTGTGGCGCTCTTCACATCGCAAAGACGTCTCAGGACGTTGGACAGTCAGGATTTTTTGGACCTGAGCCAGGAGTTGAAGTCAGGAGGGGTGGAGGACGGGGGTGGGGGGTAGGGTGGCCGAAGGTATGATCGAAGAGGAAGGTCTTTAGACGGAACTTGAAGGAGGCAAGAGAGGGCGTGTGATGGAGGAATTGCGGGATAGAGTTCCAGAGGTGTGGGGGCAGAGATGCTGAATGCCCGACCGCCAATGGTGGGATGGGAAGCGCGGGGGACTTGAAGCAGGCCAGTATCTGCTGAGTGGAGGGAGAAGACAGGCTGATTTGGGGTTAGAAGGTCGCAGAGGTAGGGGGGAGCAAGACTGTGGAGGACTTTGAAGGTGAGAACAGAGGTTTTGTACTCTATTCTCTGAGGGATTGGGAGCCAGTGAAGCCGGGTGAGAATGGGCATTGTGAGATTAAACACTCATACATCTGCTTATCTTAGATCTGTTTATCTCTCTATAAAGTCCAGGTGCATTCAATTCTGTTCATCTGGTGAAGCTCTTCTAAGATTGTCATTGAGAGGTAATTCCTATCTCACATTCCTCATCCAACCTTTCATTTCATCACAACCTTTCAGATCTCAGTCTATTTTGTCAATACTGTAATACTAAGGTGATTGCTGTTCCTGAACATCCTTCTCTTGGTCCTTTTAAGCTCCAAATACTACATGCTCTTTCTCCTTCCTGATCATTCAGTATTGAAACAAAACTGATCATACCTCCTGCTGCTCTAACCCAATTGTTTCCCAGGATTTGAAGACTAGAATTTTCACATTCCTTATCCTCCCAAAAACAGCAATAAATTCTGTGCTTATATGAAAAGTCGAGAAATAGATTTTATTTAGCATTTAAAATATCTACTGCCGTGGATTTACATATTGACACTTCTGTAGTGTTGCAATGCTTGACTAAGAGATGCACTTTTTCTCTTGCCTGTTTCTCCAATTTGTCATAATATGTGGCACAGAGTGAATATACTTTGTACCTTCTTGTATCACTGAAAATGGCCTCTTGATAAGTTTATAAACACAGGGCTTACACCATATTTATACTGTAATTGCTGTTGTTAAACTTTGAAGAAAATAAATCTAATGGTAAGTAAATTGAACCTAACCCAATTCCCTGTGATACGCTGTGTGTAATTATTTTCTATTTACCCAATTTTCATCAAAATCACCATTTGGAATTCTCCACTATATAAAAAATACTATGTGTGGATTTTATTTATAAAAATGTAAAAGGATCTGCTCCAGTCATATCAGTCAAGGTGATTGCCCTACAGAACACATGAGCGTCCCAGCATTATTTATTATTATTAATAATAATAGTGATAATAGTTCTTACATTTGATATGGTATCTTTCACACTGGGGGGATGGCTTACAGAGTTTCACAGGATTTACTGGAGGAGAAGTGAATGTGTACTTTGTTTATTTGTGCGTTATAGGCTGTGCACAATTGGCTGCTAGTTTTCGCCCACAAAAAAAGTCAATTCATTCTGTGAAGTGCTTTGGGACATCTCGAAGATGTGATAAGGCTCTATATCAAATGTAAGGATTATTATTATTGTTTCCAGACAGTTTCTTGCACCTGATAGCGGCTAAGTCCAAAGATGCAATAATTTAGGGCCGGGAGCAGATTCACTTCCTGCCTTCTCTACTTGGAAATTCATAAAGATAAGTTATGATAACGGAATCTTAAATAGGATTTTCTAAATATTGGGGCAAAAATTCCAAATCAGAGCAATCAATAATAACTTAAACATATAATAATGCACATGGAGTAGTAACTACTAAACCATAATCTAAATAAAGTGGTTAGTATAATAATAATAATAATCTTTGCATTTGATATAGTGCCTTAGCGTCAGGGACAGTTACAGAGTCAAAATATTTCATAGCACTTTACAGAGTTTTCTGTAAAAGTGCAGCGATTGTGTATTTGTACACAAACGTGGTAGCCAGTTTGTATAGAACAATGTCCCACCAACAACCATTACGTGAATGGCTTTTTTTTATTAAGGGGATTTTTGGCCAGGACATTAACAACCAGCTGGTCATGAAGAGCAAGTTTATGACAGACAACAGGAAATATTTCTTTCCATAGAAGCTAATCGCTAGCTTTAAAAGATTACAAGGAAAGATGAGTGAATCCAAGACACTGGATTTATTGAAGGAACAGCTTATAGCTATGAGATCATGTGGGCCAAAGGGCCTTCTTCATCCATACGTCCCTTGTGATCTTGCAAATCTTGTTTTCCAATTATCATCACGTATCAAGGACCTGATGCTGAAAGTTGTCAAAATGTAGCTCCAAAACAGGTACGAGTGAATGAATTCCAAGGTTGCAATATAATTTTATGTTTCAGGTGACAGCTATAAACCACTGTTGTTTTTGCTCTTGTTTATTACATCTTTTAAATATCTGGTAATTTGCTCTCATGTATTTATTAGTCTTAGTGTAATTCACTGAGAAGAATGCCTTCACCTTATCATGAACTCTGTCCACTGGTAATCTGTCATGTGACATCTCTCTAACTGTCCCTGATCTGAGAGCCCCTCTTCTTCCATACAGGGTTGGGAATGATCTCTAGGAAACAATCCATTCAACTCCTCTTGCAACTCAAAAGAATGCACCCATGCTGACACACAAAGTTGTTGCAGATTAACAGAAAGTGCATTTGATTTAAACGTCCAAAAGTTAGAAAAATAGAAATATTATTTGAGCTGTATTGCATTCCACCTGAGTGAGTAATACACAGCTTTGGAGCCATGTATTTGATAAACCAGTTGACCTTTGCTCATGTTGTGCTGTACAATATATGACGCATGTACAAAATGTTCATTGTATCAGCAATAATCCCCCAAATAAAATTGTCATTCACTTCATAGCTGTTCAAATGCATGGCCAATTTTCTTTTAACGCTGAGAGATTATTGGTCAGGACACGAGGAGAAACACCCTTATTTTTTCAAACAGTATCATGGGATCTTTAACATCTATCTGAACAGGCAGATAGGCCTCATTTTAACATCCAAAGGAAGTCACCTTCTGACAATGCAACACACTCCAGCACTAAAGTGCCATTCTAGTTTATGAGCTCAAGGATCCCGACATGGAGCTTTGAACCCAAAACATTTTAACTCAGAGGCAAGAGTGCTACGAACTGGACCAGATGTCAGCTGACACCTAGAGAAAAGAAATATTCAATCTAGAAACATTTATTTTGAAATGAGGGAGTATAAAAAATGCACGTAAACTTAAATTAATACATATTCTTATTTTTGGAACAGGAACAATTTTGGAAAACAGCGGTGGGACAGTAAATTATTTCACCAGTGACAAACAACGGGTGCACTTTAACCTCACTACCACCAAGAACAAACTTGTCTTTGGCAAAATAAAGATTTCACGAGGTGAACTTAAAATCTACAGGCGCGACGAGCAGAATCCAAACTTACTGGAGAAAAGGAAGTATGGAACACTGCAGCTTGTCAAAGTCTACCAATTGCTCAAGCCTGCAATTGAAAGGAAAGAATTTCAGCGCCATCTTCTTGGTTCTAGACTCATTAAGACAAATTCTGAAAAGGCCGAAATGGTTGACATTCGAAAAACTGTTCAGCATTGGATAAACTACCCACAGGAAAATTTTGGTCTTGAAATTGTACAGTTTCCTCGGCTTCCCAGCAGTAAACGTGACCTAAACGACAAAGCAACTATTGAAGCAGAGTTGGAAATAGAAACACAGAAGGTTTTCAAAGAAGTTCGCCAACGCCGTGAAAGTGACACTGAAGACTGTCAGAGAAATCAGGTCCAGTGTTGTAGACGGGCACTAAATGTGTCATTTGAAGCGATCGGATGGTCAGACTGGGTCAAGGCCCCCCTAAATTATAATGCCTTTTACTGCGATGGTACTTGTCCACCTAAGTACAAACTTGCCACAATGCATACACTGATCCAATCAAATATGAATCGCGTTTCCCATGGAGCTGTTCGTACTCCCTGCTGTGTCCCCGCCTCCTATGAACCACTAACTCTTCTCCATTTTAACAGTGATCGGAAATTAACAGCTACAGCATTTGATGACATGATTGTGTCTAAATGTCATTGTTCCTAATGTTATCATTAAAAAAAATCTAGTTGTAATATTTATTGAAAAACATTATTTATTGATATTTATGTGCAATGTCATCTGCTGTAAAATTATTTTGACTCCTGATTGTACTCTGGTTCTGTCTCTCTAATTTCTTATCTACAATTTCAGATTAAATCTGATAATGCAAGTAGGACAATTGCATTACATTTTTTGTTTTTTTTAAAAAAAGGTTTAGTTTTGACAACAATTTTACAATACAATACAAAATTACATTTGTATAGTGCCTTTCATTGGGAGGACATCCCAAGGTGCTGGACAGTCAGGGATTTGGACCGGAGTTGAAGGGGGATAGGATCAGGGAGGGTGAAGGGCTGGGGTGGGAGGAGGGTGGTCGAAGGCATGTTCGAAGAGGAGGGTCTTAAGACGTGCCTTGAAGGAGGCAAGGGAGGGAGTGAGGAGAAAGGAATGTGGGATGGAGTTCCGAAAGGTGGGAGCAGAGAGGCTGAAAGCCCGAACGCCAATGGTAAGGAGTGTCAGGTGTGAAATGTGGAGCAGGCCTGCTGAGCGGACAGGTTGATATGGGGTCAGTGGGTCACAGAGACCTGAAGGGCCTTGAAGACCAAGATGAGGATTTTGAACTCTATCCGCTGAGGAATGGGGAGCTAGTGGAGCCGGGCGAGAGTGCTGGTAATCCGGTCACAGAGCCTGGACCGGGAGAGGACACGAGCTGCAGAGTTTTGGAATGATCTTGTAGAGGGAAGAGTTGGGAAGGCTGACAAGCAGGGATTGGGGTAGTTGAGCCTAGATGTGATGAATGTGTGAATAACGGCCACCTGAGGGGTGAGGCACCTTTCATGTCACAAGAATGTCTCAAAGCGCTTCACAGAATTACCTGGGAGCCTGAGCTGTGACTGGGGGGAACAGGGGAAGGTCACCAAAAGTGAAAAAAGGTCTTAAGATGGGCTTTAAAGGTGAGGAGGGAGGGAGGAAGATAGAGGCACTCCAGGATGGAGACCCAGAGAGTAGGGACAGTTTTAAAGGCTTACTTTCACAGCTTAGGAAATGTTCAAGAACTTATAGAGGTTTGAATAATTTAATAATATAAATAATATAATTTAAAACAAATTGCATTCAGAACTCTGCAGCTCGTGTACTGTCCCGCACCAGGCTTCGCGATCACATCACTCCCACCCTCGCTCGCCTCCACTGGCTCCCCATCCCCCAGAGGATTGATTTCAAGATCCTCATCCTCACCTACAAGGCCATTCACGGCCTTGCTCCCTCCTACCTCTCCAACCTACTATCCCCCTACCTACCTGCCCGTACCCTCCGTTCCTCTGGCTCCGGTCTGCTCCACGTCCCCCGCCCCAACCGCCCTACCATCGGTGGTCGGGCCTTCAGCCTCTCAGCCCCCAGGCTCTGGAACTCCATCCCCCAGTGCCTTCGCCGCCTTCTCCCTTTCCTCCTTCAAGGCCGGTCTCAAGACCTTTCTCTTTGACCGAGCCTTCAGCTCCCCTCTCGACTCTCTTCCCACTCCTCGCTCCCTCCCTTCCCTCCCCTCACCCTGACCATTTCCCCCCTCCTCTCTCCCTCCCTTCCCTCCCCTCACCCTGACCATTTCCCCCCTGCTCGGGTCATGACCCAACTGTGCAGCGCCTTGGGACGTCCTCCTGACGTGAAAGGCGCTCTATAAATGGAATCTTGTTGTTGTTGTTGCTGCAAACTGGCTTCTAAATTGAGGCTGAACTTAAGAATTTTCAAAAATTCTGAACAATTTTAAATTTTAGGTCAGTTATCCTCAGGCTAAGACCATGATATAAATTTATAATAATTCACATGGAATTGTTAAGCGTTGTGACCATGTTTGCAAGGAAAGGTGGTGGCCATACATTTGCCTTCAACTACACAGTCACTAGACTCTATAATATATTCTGGGAAGTGTTTTGAGACAACCTCCGACATTAACGGCACCATACAAGTGAAAATTGTATTCCAATGTAATAATAATGCACTCCATGCTGTGTGCAATCAGTAGCCGCATTTTCATCCACAAAATATACAGTTAATTTTATTCTGTGAAGCTCTTTGAGACATCTCAATGATGTGAAACGACGCTGTGTCAAAAGCTAGAATTATTATTATGAAAATGTTGTAGCTTTAGGTTCCCCAAATCATTCACAACATTCCGAAGTGCCAATATTTGAGTAAAGTTGGGCTAAATTAGTTCCTGCGCTCATTAAGACAAAGCGTGGGCAAAATTGTCCACATTTGAACACCGCATAAACTTCCCATGAAAACATTTCAGCTTTGCAGTTGAGTTAATTGTTTGGTGTCCCAATAGTAAACGTAACTTTAGTCGCAATACAACAACAACTTGCATTTATATATTGCCCTTTACCCGGGGTAGTGTCTCGCATGCCTGAAGGAACTATTGAAGCAGAGCAGGAGAAAGAAACTTAAAAGATTTTCCAAGAAATATCCAAATAACGTGAAAGCCACCAACAGGAACTGCCAGAAACATTTTAATTTACCCTCTGTCACAGGCCAGGGCCTCTGGATACACTTACTTCACAGATTCCATCAGTAAGGACCCTGTATTATGCTACAGATTAATTCTTGGAATCAGTTTGTATCAGATCTTTCAGCTGCCTTCCATAGAGAAGCTCACTTTTTGTAGGAAGTTATTTTATTCAAGCACAGAAAGATGAAAGACATTACAGATAAATAAATACATTCGACCACGTTCTTTATTGAGGCTACCTTTCAATGTGAAGTCCTCCAGAGGACTGAATTCAAAATCGTTGCCCTCACTCATCCATCCTGACCTCATTTTACCTCGGTAACATCCTGTGCTCAACAAATACCGGTCTACTTCATGTCCACTCCCGATCCGCGCCCCCATCATTGGAAAAACTTTCAGACATTTTGCTCCTGGTTTCTGGTTTATTTTTATATGTCATTTTCCACTTGCAGAGAATACATGTAATGGATACGTGGAAGCTACTACAAGGCAATTATTTTATCTAGGGCTTTATCCTGAACCCAGAGATTAGATTGTAGCTGTGAAGTCATTCTCTGATATCTGCTAGAGCATTTAATGTAACCTGCCTCTATTTGATTCTGGGGATACATTCTGATTCTGGTCTGATTTGTTCAGCTTGGTAGTAATCCAGTGTAAGTACTTAAAGAATTCTCCAGTTTTTATTTTGACATTTCTCATTGAATCTCAGCACACTTCGAGCAACATTGAACTTTATGTACCGTAGTGTTGCAACGTGAGTGGGAGCAGCAGATTTAGTCTTTATTACTGCAGGTTTATCAAAATATAAACTGTGCCAATTCCAGGGATCAAATGAATACAATTAAAGCAATTGTTAGCTCTTGAATGCGTATTTCTACAAGTGTGTAATGTAGAAAGCAGAACTCGAATCCGCCTACGGGTTCAATTCTGAGATTGCTGTTGGAGAAGTCATTATTTCAAAACTTTTAAACTGTAATAGACATCTATTAGGAAGTGAGTTGAGTTTGCCCTAGTCGCATTTCACTTAGAATCCTTTATTATAGATGGTAGAGAGAGGAGACTTCCCTCCTATCAGTCTGGGATGGCAATGAATTCAGGTCACAGAGGTGAAAGAGCATTCTTCTAACCCACTGTGCCACCCTATTCCCTACAATAAACTATTGTACAGAACAAGACAGCAGAACTATACATATAATGAGATTATACACAAATCCAAATAGTAACACGCAATTAACCATTGTCCAGTGTTTTATAGTACTATTGTCCATTACCTCAAATAATAAGACTATAAATAAATGCAAGTATGAAAGACAATTCAGTTTTGTACAATATGCTTACTGTGACATAATGCATCACTACCATTGACGTATATGAAGAAGATAATGTATTATTGTGCAGTATAGTAGTGGCACTACATATTTCTAGAAAAACTAGGAATAAGATAATTACATTAACATTGATTTTTTTGCAATAAAATATAATATAGATTTGGCATATCGACCGGAAAAACAATCAACTTATCACTAATATACTTTGTTTATGGATATCATTTGTATAATTTGTACAGTGCTTCCTGGATTGTATACATAAAAGTAGATTATTTTGAAATGCTTCAGAAAGCTGAAGCTTGGTGCTTCACACTCTGTGTTTTGCCCACAAGCAATCTATCTAAGGCATGTATCAATAGTGGATCAATCAAGCAGCACAATAATGTATACCATAAGGAGAGCAATAGCTGATGGAAATCTATTCCCCAACAGCATGCTGTGACACAACAATCATTTGACCCCTTCTCCCCCCCACCCCCATACCCGCCCCTCTATTACCTCCACCACTGATTCAACTTTGACACTGACTAGGAGCAATATTAGTTACTTCTTTGATTTCTCTTCCTTTCTGGGAGCATTTCCTCCTGGTTACAGGGCTGTGATCAGTAAAAAGCACCAGTAGGTTTGTAGAAGCAAAGCCAAATCCAGCAATCTGTAATGCAGCACTGTGATATTCCAAAATACACTGTCATAGAGATACTACAGGTTTATTTAGCTCCAGAATGTTGAGGTATCATCTCAGTATCCATGAGATGAAAAAGCATTATTTACTTAGATACATTGACTGAAATTTTGTAGTTATTTTTGTATTGTCATACAAAAAATGAAATTAGTTTTGAAAATTTGAAAATTTGGAGAATGCATAGTCAGCTCATATTTATAAACTAAAACATTTTGCTACTTAGCATATCATATAAAACTATCTGTGTTACATATAAAAAAAGCAATCATTGATCATTGGTATTACCAATTATTATTTACAAATGGTAATCAGGAAATGTTTTATGGCTGGGCTTTACAGGTTTGTACAAAGCAATGTAAAGTGGTATAAACATTAACACAAAATCAATCATCTAGACACACATTAACTTCACAATTGGTGAATCATAAGCTACTTTGGCCAAACTTTCAGCATTGAGTATAATTAACTCTTAATATGAGCAATGAGTAGG